GGACATGGGATTCTAGCCGGAATCCCGCCCGGGACTATGGAACGTCCCAGGTGAGATCCCAGGTAGGATATCGGGTGAGACTCTGTTAATCCCATGTGGAATCCCGCCCGGGATTATAGCAAATTTAATCGCATAGCTTAGCCTGTTAACCCGTTGGCTCGCAAGATCTGATTCGTAATTCTCCCCTCTATAGCTGCCAGACATTCCCTTGTAAATCAGTTAGGAGAATTTGGTGTTAGATGAAGACGATAACTTTGTAACCTGATAGGTTTGAGTATTCTCATTACCTGTTTGCTGGATAATGCAGGGATTGATATTAGAGGGAGAAGACAGCCATTAGCTAGTAAGAGGAAATTGTTTTTGCACTCATTCTTTGTTAGAATTATAAAATAGTGGATTGCTCTTCCTACAGAGATAGTGCTAGAAGAGCATTTCAACATTTTTCGTAGTAACCTTAGAAAGTATTGTAAAATTTCGTAGTTTTTTTTTATTTTTACCCATTTCAGAATGATTCTTAAATTCTATATTGTAGTATATATTTTTTTATATTTTATGCAGGGAGCGTTCTCGACAGGGACAACGTTTCCTTTTATGTATGCTCACATAATAAATTAATTGATTGATTGGTTGTTAAAGAGTAATTGAATGGATCATAGATGCCACACCATACAAGAGATATAGGGTTAACTGCCTGCAAACTAGAGGTAGTCTAGCCATGTTGACACAAGGTTGTGAAAATAAGCTGGCAGCCGGTGCAATTCTCTCTGAAAAAATCTGCCGGGAAATGAGATGAGCCTCCCTCAAGAACAAGGAAAGTTTAAATTTTTCCTTTAAGTAAGCAGTTTCTCAAAAATAGGAAAATTTATATTATTCCACTGGACTTTAATTTGTCCTTTAACTCTTGAATTATGTCTAACTTGAATTACTGGTATTTTCTGCCACGGATGTTGATGACTGATGTCTTGCCCGTAACAGTTTGTTCCCTGACGATTTGATCGAAGTATCCCCACCAGAAGAAAAAAAGCCGATTGTGAAAAATTCAACAACCAACTTATCTTATTGTACCTTTTTTGTTGGAGGAATATCTCTATTGATGTTGCACTGGTTTGCGCACTTGCTAGAAAATCGAATTCATGTTTGAAGCTTAATTTAATTTGATTTTTCGGATGTCCTGTCTTGATTAAATTGTCTGTTCAGAGCTGTTTCTGATTTAGGGAGGGTGTTTTAACAACCATTTTGATTTGTAAAGCTCCAACCCTTACATAGAGAGAGCTCTGTACTTTGCGATGGAAAACCTGCAAGGGAGCAATCTAAGCTCTACCCTTTGTTAGAG